GTGTAAAGACTATGCGGCCTATGTTCGAGTCGATGTTAATTCAGATGGTCATCTGCAGTGATGAATCGTAAGTCATTTTCGAAAAACTTTGGTTTTGGTACAAGCGGTTGAAATGGGCTTTTCGAAACGAATCATTAGGCTCGACATGGTCTGATGTTCAGATATCTGAAAGAGCTATGATATATAGATATATATATACAACCATTAATATTTTTATGTTTGATTTTTCGATTTTTGGTTCCTTCTAGCTATGCAATAAAGCAAAACTTTTTGATGATTTTACTTAGGCCGTAAACTTTGTGCTTAAAATAAAATCTGTTGAATCGCGGGTATTCTGCTTTATGCTTTATTTGACACAACCTTTTATTCAGTGATTACTGTAATGCAATCAATGCTCGTATCTTTCGACTCGGTGTTTGCAGTGATCGGCTACGAGAGTCGATGTAGCAGCTATGTTATGAAATACTCTGGATTACAATACTCTGGATTACCAGAATCGTTATGGTGTTAAAATTTTAGGTCAAAGATAAATGTACTCACTGTTCGATGGAACATTTTGGGCTGTGTTGTTTAATTCAGGATTATCTGATCAGCAGTGACGGGACAGAGGCTGGATAATGTTCCTGACAGATCGAGGTTCTGATAGTTTTTAGGCCGAACTATTCACGCAAATGCCATTTTGACTTTAAATCCTGAGGGAATTAGGTTTGGAGTTTGTATTTATCCATCAAAGGAATATGTAAATAGTATTTTGCTCCTGTTCTCTAGGGGTGGTGGGAAGGAAGCTGAGAGTTACTAGAGTGAAACGTCTGATATCGGATAAAGTGCACGCTGGAGTTGCAGAGTTACCCCTTTTGCCAAACGTTGGCATTTTATGATTGTTTGATCATGTATTTGCTCTCACCATCGTTAAGTTTCAAGCGTATCTGTAAGAGCAGATAAATGTGTAAGAAATTGAATGGGCATTTATCAGGCAAATACGGCGTGTTTCTTGTCGTGACGAAAATGATTCTAATTAGGTGATTAATTTATGAGTTTTTTGACAGTTACTCGTCTTTATTATGGGTTGGTCTTGAACCTTTGGCAACTTCATCATGCATTCGCATGTGGGCTGACCGGTGTGAAAATCCTTTGTGATATCCGTTGTCAACAGTTTTGACGTTATGTATTTCCGTTTGCTGGATAAAAATGACATTTATAAAAGGTAGCTGAAAAATTTTATTTCTAACGCAATAAATGATGTATGCAAGTTGAAGCCGAAATAACTTGACTTGCAAATTTAATTTTTAGAACTTACATAGTCAACATGGATGCCAGTCTGCTGAAACAGCATTCGGTTTTCATGAAGCGTGCTGCTTCACAGCCGACCATCTTTAATGTTGGAAAACGATCAGCCGATCAGAAGGAGGAAAAAGGAAAAAAATCCAAAACTTTAACGGAGAGCAAGACAGGTGGGAAATTTATTTTCTTTATTTTAATGTTAATGCAAAAATTCATACACTCTTAAAAATTTTTAGAAAATAGCTTGGAGTAGTTTAAAAAAGTTTTGAAATATAGAGCACCATGTGAGATGAATTATATTAAAAGTCACTTAAACTAAGCGAATCAAGCAACATGACCACGACAGGGAATATTATCATTCCTGA